ACCACAAGACAGAGCGGACTGGCCACTCTCATCTACCCCACCATAGGAGTAGGAGAGGAGGAATATCCGCTTTGGGTTACAGTCCGAACATTAAAGGTGCCATACAATCTATATTTAAAGTGTCTAGAGAGCGCTCTCCAAGATGATCCAAGGCAAATTTTGGACCACAAGACAGAGCGGATCGGTCACTCACATCTGCCCCACCAAAGGAGTAGGAGAGGAGGAATATCCGCTCCGGGTTTTAGTCCGAACAGTAAAGGCACCGCACAATCTATTCTTAAATTATCTTAGAGAGTGGTCTCCAAGATGATCCAAGGCAAATTTTGGACCACAAGCCAGAACAGATCGGTCACTTTCAATAACCCCACAGTAGGAGAGGAGGAATATCCGCTCCGGGTTTTAGTGCGAACAGTAAAGGCACCACACAATCTATTCTTAAATTATCTTAGAGAGTGCTCTCCAACATGATTCAATGCAAGTTTTGGACTACAACCCAGAGTAGATTGGCCACTCTCATCTACCCCACTAAAGAAGTAGTGAGGAATATCCGCTCCGGGTTTTAGTCCGAATAGCAAAGGCACCACACAATCGATTCTTAAAGAGTCTTAGAGACCGCTCTCCAACATGATTCAATGCAAATTTTGGACTACAAGCCAGAGCATATCGGCCACTCTCTTCTACCCCACTAAAGGAGTAGGGAGAGGAGGAATATCCGCTCCGGGTTTTAGTGCAAATAGTAAAGGCACCACACAATCTATTCTTAAAGAGTCTTAGAGAGCGCTCTCCAACACGGTTCAAGGCAAGTTTTGGACTACAACCCACAGCAGATCGGTCACTCTCATCAAACCTACCAAAGAAGTACAAGAGGAGGAATATCCGCTCCGGGTTTTAGTCCGAACTGGACCTATTTTTTCGCCATCTTGGAGAGCACCTTTTCCAGTTCGGACTGCAACCCAGAGCAGATTGGCCACTTATCTATGTACCCCGAAAGGAGGGAAGAGGAGAAATATCCGCTCCGGTTTTTAGTCCGAATAGTACGTATACCATCCAACCTATATTTTTGGAAAACAGGATGGTTAAGCACGGATAATACGGAAATGGCATGGGATGATGGATGGGAAGCAAAGTGGCTGAAATGGCTTGGTGTTATTCTGGGGATTTGTAGTTTTGCAAGGTCTTTTCGAGGCAAACACAACGGGTTTGTTGAAAAGGAAATAGGAAAACAACTCCAAATGCTTTCCAGTTCATGACGGATTCGGCGGCCAAAGCCGAAGTTCCAGACAATCTGGAAAAGTCATCAAAGGAAAGGAATGAAACGGGACATAAGAGAGGCGAAGAAAGGAAGGAAAGGGGGAAGGAAGGAAAGAAGGAATGGAAAAAGCAGATGGTAGAATGAAAGGAAAGAAGAGCAGATAGAGGTGAAAAAGGAGG